ATATTTTTTTTCTTTGTTTATCTACAAAATAAACTATTTCAAATTTTTTTTAAAAAAATTGTTTTCATCTTTTCAGTTTTAAATTAGATGTTCGATTATTTGAGATTTGTTTGTTGGTAATATCAGTTCAAACTAACTTAGCGGGTTTAAAAATTAAATACCCAAACCAAAAACTGAAAATGAAAAATAGAAACTTAAAAACGAAAAACCAAAAACCAAAATCTAAAAATAAAAAGCAAAACTAAAAACTAATGAAAAAAACAATCATCATAAATTTTGGTGAACTGATTTTATATCAAAATATTCTTTAAATTAAGACAAAACCCAATTATATAAATTTTTAATCATAAAAAATTTCCGAGCGCGGATCAAAATCTAGTTTATATTTATTTTATAGTTTAGCAGCTGCGTTCGGTTCAATATAATTGAATTACACTATAGGTCACATTTGTGTCTTTCTTTACATGAAAAGACACATTGCACTTGGTGGACACATTCTCGACAACCAAATCAGTATTAGGACAATTATGCCCTTGTTGAACTCAACACAACAAATGCATTTTTCGTTAGAATAAGTATCAAGGTCAAACACAACATTTTATTTTAGTTAAGCTTATTTATTTTATATTACTATTAGTCTATAATCTTATATTTTCATTTGTTTTTTTCTCAAATTTTGAAATATATAGAGCAAAACCATTGTGACACTAAATTGTATTTTTTTTCTCTACATTTTAATATCCATTTTCATATACATATTTTATATTTTTTAAATATTATATAAAATGGATGGACATAAAAGATGTGGATGAAAAAATGTGGACATGTGGATAGGCTAAGTGTGGACAGAAGAACCGTGGATAGCAAAAACATAATAATATTATTATTGTTTATTTGATATTTAAAGCAAGTAATATTTTTACTATAAATCACATTTTTGTATCTTCTACATTTTGATATACATATTTTATATTTTATACAAAAAAAAACTGTGGACATACAAAATGTGATATGAATTTTTTATTTGAAAAATATGGACACATGGGTAATATATACATTTACCTGTGAATTAAACTTCTTGGAATAGAAGTGTACACTCAATATAGTGAAAGGTTACTTCGCCGAAGTCCAAAATGTGTCTGCATTAACAATCAAGAAGATTAGATAAACCTGAGTCTAAATGACTTGTTACCAAAACGTACCGCCAACGATAAAGGAATCTACAAATCTATGGCATAGCCAACCAAAGAAGAAATAGCAATCATGCTTCAATAGTAGAATAAATACAGAGTTGTCAGTCCTACGATAATCACATAGATTGAGCTGTGTGTAGTGTTGTTTTGATCATTAATATATACGAGCGACAAAACTTAGTGGGACTACAAACAAGATGGAACCAAGGTAAAAAATTCTTAACTGCAAAGATGTGAACTTCGTTAAAATACAAGTTGATTGTATCTGTTACATCATGTGCCACACCATTCTCTTTATTAGTAAAAGCAACTCATACACCCTCTGAAACATTTTGAACGATGGTTGTTTTGTAAAGCCAAAACTCAAGAGAATAAAAAAAAAAGAACATAAATTAAAGCCATTACCTGAACAAAGAACATAAACTCACGACTGACCCACTTCCATATCCATCACCTTCATCCATGACCACCGTTGTATCTACTTCCAGGTCCATCAACTCTGTCCATGACCACCACTATATTTACTTCCATATCCATAACCATTACAAGTTCCATTCCAATATCCACCACCACTACTACCATGGCTTCCACCTCTGTATTCTCCACTTTTACATTTTCTATCTCTACCGTATCCACCACTATCTCTTCCTCTCGAGTAACCACCACCTCTGTATCCATTGCCTCCATATCCACCTCCATATCAACTGATGCTTCAAAGAAGGATATCTACATGCCAATCCATACGAACAAACCAATCTATGTTACAATTAAAATTACATGCCACTGAAATTAATTAGTTTGGTATCCATGCCTTTGAAATTAATTGTGATGCATTTAAGAAGGGGAAAAAAAAACAAAAAATCACAACAACTAAATAAACAATGAGGAAAATCTGGTATTTGACAAAATAACTATGCAAGGAAAAAAAACAGTCTCCATAATTAATTACAGATATAAGCGAGACAAGGAGGAAGAACATTATGTTTATAAACTTTCACAATTACAAGAATTAAAGGTGCAAATTCGCTAAGTTGGAGATCAAGGTTCGTCAATGGAGAGGGATTTCGAACCGCGACTCGTCATCCAAATGTTGATAAGTTCTTATGTGTTTATAACTAAGACAAGAGAGAAGGAGTCGCGTGAACCCGGATCTGGCGCATATATTGAGATATGTGGAGGTGTCTGTTGGTCAGAGAAGTTGAGATCCGATAGGAGGAGGCGTCTGGAAATTGTCGGTCGGTCTTCTTTGACGAAATTGATGAAAAAGAAGATGTAGATAACTTTTTTTTTTGAGAATCTAAGGGTTTCAGTCGCTATCACAAACACGAGAGGAAAGGAAAGGAGATTGTGATAGAGTTTTGGGGAGGATTAAGGTTCTTACAGTTTTTCTTTAGATTTTGAACATGTGCATGCGTTGTTTTTCAACGATGAAAAGAAGAAGTAAGTGAAGTTTGTTCTAGTTCAGGGTTATTAAAGTCTTTAAACACATAAAATATGTCTAGCAAGTGGGTTGTGTCCTAAACTGCAATTAGAAACTAAAAAAGTGTCTAAGAGTGTAATTTTCTCTTTTATTAATCCTCCCAATTACAGGCTAAATCGGGATAATCTCAAAAGTTATGAGGTCAAATTGCAAAAGAAATAAGTAAACAGAACCAACCTTAAATTACAGAAAAATAATCTCAGTGGAAAGAGTATAGTTTGGACTGAAACTTAACCAGAGGTTCTGTCACCACCAAAACCGGATTGCAAGAAACCGGTTTGGTCCAAATGAGACACATCTCCCCAAACTGTGATTGTCCATTTCTCTCCGTCGTATAAACGGAACACATTGACCGATGTGTTGAGAATCTTTTCAACTTTTCTTGCACTTGGACGAGCTCTTTCGTAGAGTGATCGAATCACACCTCCATGAGTCACCACCACCACTCTTTCACCTTCATCATCAATAACCACAAGTAAAGTTAAAAACAAAAGCAAAACTTGAAAAAACATGTTTTTTAGAAACAAACCTTGATGTTTGTCACCGATTCTCTGTAATGCAGATGTGCATCTGTCATAGAGTTTGTCAAGACTTTCTCCTCCACCCTAAATGAGCAAGAAACAAAACATGATTCATTTATACACTAAAGCTTCTTTGCTTATAACAAAATTATCTTACTGGAATGTCAACGTCAGTGCGGTTAGATGAAAAGGCCTTATAAGCTTCAGGGCGAAGTTTTGAAGCTTCTTGATACACAAGACCTTGCATATCTCCTAAATGTCTCTCCCTCAAGTCACGATCAGTAAGTACCTGCATACACATTATTACACATTTGAAACCTCTATACAATCCTCATAGCTTCAAATGGCTAATTCAGAACTTAGAGCATAAAAGGTGGAGACTTTAGAAGCATTTTTATAAAAGAGGAATACCTCAAGATTGCCGCATTTAGAAGCAATGATCTGAGCAGTCTCAAAGGCTCTCTTCAAGTCAGAAGAGTAGACATAAGCTATCTTAGGCTCCTTTGATAACCTTTCAGCAACCTTTTTACACAAAAGACATCATCTTCATCATTGTCATTACATAAACAATCAAAAGACAGAGTCTTTAAAGTAGTAAAAGAGACATACTTTATCTGCTTGTTGTCTTCCTGCATCGTTTAACTCAACATCTAAATGACCCTGTATAACAAAACAACCCAATCAAATCAGATTCTTACAACATCTCCAAGAAGTTACAAAGTAATAATCATAGATCAGACAAGGGAAGGTACCTGGATCTTTCTCTCTGCATTCCAAGCTGTTTCTCCATGACGAACGACAATGATCTCAGCATAACACTCACCAACGGAACTGCGATAAAACAGTAAAGAGATTCAGATCATGAGAAACACATGTTTGAATGTGAGAAGGAGAGAAGCATACTCTTCTTCCGCCATGGGAGATAGATGCTCAAACTCAGTCAATGGCTTTGGGTTAGATCCAGCGTTGGAGCTTAATGGCTCTCCGTAGACGAAACTTGATCATCATTTCAGCCCGTTAATGATATCCACTAATGGGCCTATACTTTGAGCCCATTTACTTTAGGCTAAAATTAAATTATCTTAATTAATCCTCCACTTTGATTAAATCCAGCACAAATATTCTACTCCATAACTATATTTGATTATCATTGATTTGATTTACAAATACACGTGTCAAACTTGTTTCTAGATTCATGATTCATGATTCATTTCGCCTTAAATATTTATCTAGAATGATGACTCAACTAAGCAAGATTTACTTGATTCAAATTGGGAATTTACCTTTTAGATAACTATGCTTCCAATTTTATCTATTTAAAAAAAATCACCGACGTACTCATGTAATTATCGTGTAACTTCTTATACCTTTTTTATTCTAATATACTTAGCTTATCCTTTGTACCATGAACAAATTCAAATTTATGTTTTTTCAGATACATTGTACGGAACTAGACTTTGACTACTATAAAACAGAATTTGCGTGCGAAAGATTCTGACTTAAGTCAAAAGGGGGTTACGGTTAATCAACTTTTTCAGATCCTCCTCTCTCTAAACAAACTTGCAGTAATCAAGAAACCAAGAGAGATTATACAAACAGGATTTTGCTTCAGGTATGGCTAAAATCTATTTTTACTGATTTTTAACTTTTTCTCTTCTTGTAAAAATATCGATTTGATTCATATGCACATACCTTCTCACTGAAACATCATTCTCTATGTAAAACACATGTTCTATCTAGATAGGTGATCAATTTTCTTTTATTCATCTTTCTTTTTTTTATATATTTATATTTCACAAGGAGAAGATGTCATCAACACCATGCGCTGCATGCAAGTACCTAAGGAGAAAATGCACACAAGCCTGCGTGTTTGCGCCTTACTTCCCCGCGAACAAACATGCCGATTACGCAGCGATCCACAAAGTATTCGGAGCAAGCCAAGTGCATAAAATTCTCCACGACCTTCACCCAAACCAGAGACAAGACGCCGTGACCTCCCTCGTTTACGAGGCAAATTCTTTTCTTCATCACCCGGTCCATGGCTGTACTCTTCACATTCACAACCTCCAACGTCAGCTTAAAGATCTTCAGAATCAACTTCAAATCGCCAAGAACGAGCTCGCCTCTTACACCAATACCGTCCCACCGCTTGTCGACCTACCTTCTCCGGTTAATTATCAGCAAAACAATTACAATACAGTGTTGATGATGCCTGCTGATGTTTCTAATAATTATGGTGGTCAGTTAACGTCTCAACAGTTACAAGAAGAGGCTCATCGAGTTGAATCTGAAAATATCACTCAAATGCAGCAGATGCATCCAGACGCAGCACAATCAAAGGGAGATGACTGCCCGTGATTAAAGACAAGTGTGATCTCTCTCTAATATTTTATCACAATGCCTACCTTTCATATAAAACGTTCATGGGGATTTTTTATATTGTTAAAGAAAAACTTCATGGTTAAAGACAAGTGTGATGCTCTAAAGGCATCTCCAACTATAAACATTATATTATCTTGGTGTCAAAACCACACTATTTTAGTGTAGTAGTTGTGACACTAAAAATAATTTTTTTCCCAATCATAACACTAAACTTCTCACAAAAACTATTTTATAATATTATTTAAATTTATTTTTATTTGTCACTAGGTAAAGAACCCGTGCGATGTCGCACGGAAACTTAATTTATAAAAAATATTCTATAAATAATCTTTTATAAAAAAAAGTTGTTTTTGAGAAAATACATATGTTACAAAATTATCTTTCATGAAACTATATTACTTTATTTCCGATACTAAAAATCTATATTTTTATAGGTTTGGTTTCAATAAAATTACAAACACTTCAACGCTAATAATGTATATGTTTTATTATTCATTTAACTAAATTATTTAAAATCTAGAAAACAACTGAATTTCTTGAACTAACTAAAAGAGTTTAAAACATATTTAAATCTATTTAAGAAAAATAATACATTCATATGAACAGATTAGTTTTTATCGAAAATATTATTTAAACTTAAAAATATAACCTTTTTTTAAAGGATACACTTTTTAAAACATTTTTAGTATTTTTAAAGGACACATCTCTTCTACAGAAAACTATTTGTTAAATAAAGAAATACATTTTTCATGTAAAATAAATTTAAATTGGATTAAACAAAGATACAATTTAGAATAATAATAATAAATACTCACAAACTATTCAATTATTATGTGAAAAATCCCCATAACTTAAAAAGTTATAACCAATTGGTAACGCACACACATTGAAATTTCTATCCATGCTTAAAGTTATTATTTGAACTCAATAAATTAAAAATATTAGCCATTATGGATAATTTATAGTTTTATATAAAAGTGAGATTTTAAAAAATAAAAATATATATCCTTTGACCTTTCATAAACTTTAAAATGTATAATATAAGTAAAATGACAAAATAACCAAAAATATCAATAAAAATACTTTAAATTAAAATATCATATAGTGTTCAACTAAAAATATTTGTCAGAAACCTTATTAGTAACTTTTTTATTTACTTATTTCAATGATTATTATACCAACCAAATTATAACTAAAGTTATATAAATTTATTTTACAGAAAAATAAACTCTTGATCAATAAGATTTTCACTCAAAATGACATTACTACATTGTTTTTGGCATCATTTTCAATGTTTTTTCCTGTATGTTATCTATTTAATACCATAAATAACTTACAAGTTCAACTAACTCGGTTGGTGTTTTATTTAGAATCTCTTAAATATCTTTGTTAAATATTATTCAGAACGATGTATACAAACTGTTATCAACAATTAAGCATTCTTGATACCTAATACCTAAGCAAATTTAGTATGGATAAATAAAATATATTTAACAAAGTATTAAATATATTTATATAAAACTTTATGTTCCCGTTATATTTCTATTAGAATAAATATTACATACAAATGTGTCTTCATCTTTGAAGGTTTCTTTGTCACATGATTCTTAAGTCTTCCTGAAATAATTTCAATTATATTTTCACGACATCTAAATAAATAAAGGGCAATTACTAATTTTACGTCGATAACAAAATCAATTACTATTTTTTATATATTCATTTACATGTTATTTTTCTGAGAAAAAAATTCACTTGTATGATGTGTAAATTTGTCTAATTTATATCGTCCTTTTCATTTGTATGATGTGTAAATTTGTCTAATTTATCGTACCTCAAATGAAAAAATTGTATTTTTGGTAAACATATGTTAACTGGATCAAGCATGTAATGTGTTTATAATATGCGCACAGTCTGTTAAGATTTTGTATATTAAAATTGTTACTTTGCAATATATTCAAGAATTTTAGTGACATGTGCATGCGTGAGATATACCATTATGGATTCTGCATTTAAGTTGACGGTTCCTAAATTTTTAGTATGAAAAGTCACCAATGCTTGATAATAATGTGTGCATGCATAAATAATCCTGATAAATTGAATGATATGCATGCGGTTGATTTTTATAACGGTTGCAATGTGAAAAGTCACAAATAAAAATTGTGAGTATCAAAAGCTTAACGACGAATTAATCCAGTATCAAACCAAATCAAACATGGATCAAGATTAATATCTTTTAAAACAAAAGAAAAATATTAACGTTTAATTAGAAGGAATCTAAATTAATGTTTTTGACAGATTATGTTATAGAAATCATAAATTATAATCATCATATCCGTTATCTGAAGTGATATTGACATATAAATATTCTGGAGAGAGTTTTCAAACAAAATTTCTAAGTTTATGTTAAGATACAAGAATAATAATAAGAGTTCTTTATGTTGTCATATCTTGGAGTGTTACAAAAAAAAAAAGAGTTCTTCATATTTATGTGTTTCTCAGAGATTTTTAATGATCATCAACAGTAAATATCTTTAATTTTAGTTTATTTCTGAATGTTGTAAATTTTGGTTTATAATTGTTAATGTCTACCGATTCTTATATAGAGACTAAAGGTTGACATGGTCGGTTCAACTCCAAAAAATACAATGATTGATCACCAAATATTTCAATCACCAATAATTGCAATCGTTCATCACCAAATATTGTATTTATTAATTTTTAAAATGAAAAGTTGCGTTTATTAATTTATGAAATGAAAAACTTGCATTTATTGATTATGAAAACACACAACTCTTAAAAGTACAATATATAATTAAAACTAAAAAAAACACACACAACCTTTGACATTTTGGTCAAAAACACAAAATCTTGAAAATACACATCATTTTATAATTTGACAATTTTTCAAAATAATTTCAGTTTGTAATGAATAGACGCAACCTTTTAATTAGTATTTCAGTTTTTTTTATTGGAGATTCACAATTTTTGACATTAATAAGGATTGTTATTATTAATAAATTTATTTTAATTGTATATTTTATTAATAAAATAAATGAATAGTGTGTTAATATGATGAATATTGTTATAGTATGTTGAATAGTATTACACCAAATTTGATGTAAAATTACATTGTCGTATTAAATGATGTAACTTTTGCAGTTGAATTGAAGAAATTTTATTGTAAAAATCACACTAGTGTTGAATTGGAGATGACAAAATAGAAAATGGTTCTCTTCTTTGGTGTGCATGTGTAACTTAACTATATTGGTAAAAAATGGTTGGTTCACATGTGAAGATCTTATGTGATTATTTGTTAATTAACTGTATAACCTTTGATATCTCGATGTTATTACTCTACTTGTAATCCTGTGATCCTATCTTTCAAGTTAAGTACTATTGAACTCTTCATTCTTTCCACTTTAATGTCCTCCGCAACAGAATATCAATTAGGACCGAGTCCAAGTCACTAAAACGCGGCGGTTATTTGTCGTATTAGAGCCAAAAAAAGCAACAAAACGCCGTCGTTTCAAAAGTCTCTCTCTCTTTCTTATCTATTCTCTGAGAGCGACCAATAATTGCATTAATCTTTCCTCAGTCTTCTTCTTTTGTCTCTACCAAGAAGATATTTTTCTCTCTTCTTCCAAATCCCAACGCGAACCTTCTTCTCTCCTCCTCTCTTTCATTCAAAGCTCTAAACTTTCTCCAGTATCTTTATCTTTATATGTGATTTGATCCAAGTAAAGGAGAAGATGGATCCAACGGCGGCGGCGACGGCGGTGATGCCGATCGATTTACCGATTATGCACGACAGCGATCGCTACGACTTCGTGAAAGACATAGGGTCTGGTAACTTCGGAGTGGCTCGTCTGATGACTGATAGAGTAACGAATGAGCTTGTTGCTGTTAAGTACATCGAGAGAGGAAACAAGGTTTGTTCTTCAGATTCAACTCTCCATATATTTATAGAGAGGGTTGTGATGAAGTTTCCAGATTTAGTAGCCTTCCTCTTTTAGATTTTTGTCATAAAGTTTAGGTTTTTTTTTTATTAATACGATGTTTAATGCTTTTATTAGTATAATTTTTAAAGTTGTGATTTTTAAGCCCTTTGTTAAAAAAAGAAAAGAGGTTGTGATTTTTTAATTAAAGATTTGATCTTTTTTTTATATTGGTTTAATGAATGGGAAGAAGAGATTTGATTTGGGTTTGTGAAAGTTGAGTCCTTTTTTTTTCAGATTGATGAGAATGTTCAGAGGGAGATTATTAACCACAGGTCCTTGAGGCATCCTAATATCGTCAGGTTTAAAGAGGTAACATTATTAGTATTAAGTATTAAAACATACTTCTTATTATCTCCTTTGTGTTTATGTGTGTGTGTTGTTTTGGGTGTTTGTGATTAGGTGATTTTGACGCCTAGCCATCTGGCTATTGTGATGGAGTATGCTTCTGGTGGTGAGCTTTATGACCGGATTTGTAACGCTGGGAGGTTTAGTGAGGATGAGGTCAACTTCTACTACTACGCTTTTAACTGTGGTTGCTACTACTCATGTTTGAGTTTTTTGTTGTTGTTGTTGTGCAGGCTCGGTTCTTCTTTCAGCAGCTTATCTCTGGAGTTAATTATTGTCATTCAATGGTAATTGGTACCTTCTTCTTGTTGCTACTTGAAACTCTTCTTGTTTTCAAATGATTTATTATTCCTTTTGTTGATCTCTCTGTGAAGCAAATATGTCATCGAGACTTGAAGCTGGAGAATACATTGTTAGATGGAAGTCCTGCCCCTCGTTTGAAAATATGTGATTTTGGTTATTCCAAGGTACTACTTCTACTGTTTCTCTCAAGGTTTGTCCTCTTGTTTCCTTAGTATAGAACTAAGGAATGATTTCTCCTTGTGCCCTCTCTTATGTTTTTTTTGTTGCTAATGATTGGAATTGAGATGAATCCTAACTTTTGCATATTCTTTGTGTCTTCAGTCTTCTGTTCTTCATTCGCAACCCAAGTCAACTGTTGGTACTCCTGCTTACATCGCACCAGAGATTCTTCTTCGTCAGGAATATGATGGCAAGGTACATAAGATCAGTCCCTCTGTCTAAAGCTAACTCCATTATCTTGAATATTCTTTTAGCTCTCCTCTGACTCACATTCCCCTAGATGGCAGATGTATGGTCATGCGGTGTAACCTTATACGTAATGTTGGTTGGAGCATATCCATTTGAGGATCCAGACCAGCCTAGAGATTATCGAAAGACTATACAAGTAACCCTTCTTTCTTATCTCAGTCATCATCCTCTTAAACCAACTCTCTAATTCTTGAATGTTCATTTTTGCCTTTAAACGCAGAGAATCCTTAGTGTCACATACTCCATCCCTGAGGATTTACAACTCTCACCAGGATGTCGCCATCTAATATCCAGGATCTTCGTGGCTGATCCTGCAACAGTAAGTTCTTACATGATCTCTTCTTCAAAGCATTTCAGAGTTCTTGATTGAGAAATGATGAGAAATCTAACTATGGCACAGAGAATAAGTATGCAGGAGATCAAAACCCATGAATGGTTCTTGAAGAACCTTCCTGGTGATTTGATGGATGAGGGTAGTCAGTTTCAAGAGCCGGAGCAGCCGATGCAGAGTCTTGACACTATAATGCAGATCATCTCAGAGGCTACTATTCCAGCTGTTGGAAACCGTTGCCTTGATGATTTAATGGATGATAATCTTGATTTTGATGATGATGATGACATGGATGAGTTTGATTCAGAATCTGACATTGATGTTGACAGTAGCGGAGAGATAGTTTATGCTCTATCTGAGAGGTAGTGAGGGGGCAAAGTATGTTTTGTCCCTACTGTTCTGACGAGTTTTGTCTTGCCTTCCTCTCCCGTTGTACATTTTTGTATCGTTTGTTGTTTTTTTCTCTACAAACTTTGGACTCGCATACGTGTGTAATATATTTATAAAATTTATATTTTATGGTAAAACTTTATAATGGAATTTACACTAGATATTACATTTGACGGTTCTTGTTTGTTGCCTAAGACGCATCACTTGAGGACGAATTTGATCTCAGGATTTTTGCTTGAACTTCACAGGTGGGACATACAGTCTTTGGTTCGGATCCATCACTCTTATCTTCCTTTAAAGATAGGTCTGTTGTTTCTCAGATCTTAAAGGAAATAGCAGCGAAAAACAACTGAAATGTAAAACTAAAGTTAGCTCTGGAGTGTGTATCCCTCACGCTTCATTTTACATTCTTACTGTATTTGGGTGGGGAAGTTTCACACTAGCTTGACCAAAGTATCCTTGCACCAACCAAGAATGTAGGATCGTCCCTGTCTGCAGAAACCTAACTCATGTTAGCTTCCCTTACATCAAAATTCGGTTAGATATGAGAATCACAAACTTACAAACAAGTCTACATGTGAGCCAATTACTTTGAAATTTCATCTGGAAAGGACACTTCTTTGTGTTGGCATCTGATCCTTCTGTCTCAGAGAATCCCAGCTGTGACGCACCAAATTGAGAAGTCAAAAGACTTCTCTATCAGCTAGCAAACGGACGGATAAATATAGCATTTGCATAATGGAGTTTTTATATAACAGTGCTTCAAGGTATGCAGCTGATTTACCTTTGGTTCAGATAATATTTATTACTCGTGGAGTTGACAGAGCTCTTGAAACCTTGACAAACTGCCTCAAAATACAAAAGAAGAAGAAGTTTATATAGGTGATTTATATGCATAGGATGAGTTTATTGTACGCATGACAGACTAACCGTCGAAGAAGAGCTTCTGGGTTGTATGGAAATAGTTTCTTCTGATGTAGCCTCACAACTGAGTTTTGTAAAGAAAGCAGACAGTCTTTGGCGTTTTCGAAAGCGTGGGGATGTAGTTTCCGGTTCTGTTCAACCTCAGACGTCTCAACCAGAAATCTCCTTCTCTTCGAAGATGAATCATTTACATTTTCTTCAAATGGGAATTCCACAAACAGGGTCCACGAGTCACAGACTGTGCGCAAGCATCTACCAAGGAAATACAGTGGGTGTTAAAACAGGAATCAGCCTCTTTTATGTATTTGTTTGGAAAAGTGCATTACGCAATTTTGGAAACTAGAGAAACCATACGAAGATTAGAATACGAGCTAATATGAGTGGCCTCACACCAAAAAAAACAGAACACATCCAGTCTTGATACTGTGGATGGAGCAGTAAAATTACTTAAGAGAAAAGGATTAACCTCAGCAGGTATTCTGCGCAGCTAGCCCCGATGTCTTTAGATATAAGGTAATCAAGAAGTACTTGATGATCATAATGCAGCTGTGAAAAGAAATCAAAGGCGTGCCCATTAAGAAGTGTAACAATAGTTGAACACAAAACAAGCCTTCTGTAAATTTCGTGAAAATTACCTCTGATTGAAATATACAGAAGAGGACCACAGGATTGAACAATGTCGATAAACGGACGTAAATCTCCTTATCTTGACGCCCTTCCCCGTTAAGCCTATACAGAAAAGAAAAAAAGCTCATAAGAGAGCTCACAGTAATTTGGTTAACTCAAAAAGACAGTGGTTTACCCTACTTACAATTCCTTTCCATCAAATGGCACAGAAAGCAATTGCAGGAGAACTTTAAATAATAAGTCATCCTACAATTAAACAGAGAAGAGGTATATTAGAACTCTACTGTATGGTTCTAAGACCCCCCCCCCCCCACAAACATATTGCAGGTACGTAAGTATAGACTAAAACCTCATGCATGAACAGCTGGATGAAGGATGTAGAAAAGTCAACACTCTTCTTGCTATAAGTGCCGTGATCTGAAATTGTATAACCTGGAACCTGTTGTTCAATCCATTTTAACATCCCTTCCATCCCTTTCTTTCTGCATTCAAACTCACAGTCCTTGTCGGTATGTCTACTTGAATAAAATAGAGTGAGGGAGCACCGTAGGAACAGAAACACAGATAGTCTTTGCAGATGATTAGAATGCGTCTCCTTGACATCCCTATCAGATAAACTCACAAAAAATGGAGATCCTTCCAAACAATTATCTTGGACGGGTTTATTCCCAGTTAGGGTGTGTTGGAGAAAGACCTGAAAATGCCGTTGCAAATATTGCAGCCATGAAAGAAGGATGGTACATTTAATATTGGACTGATAAGTAAGTCTGATCATCAACACCTACAAGATAGCAGCATAAGATGAACTTATCAGAGACATATTGAGTAAGAAAGCAAAGACTTCTCTGAACTTGTAACTTCATAAAAACAGAAGAAATAACATACCAGCAACTTGTGCACAAGGTATCTTGACATGGAAGAGCCACTTTGACTTTCTAACTTCGGTTGGCACCAACGGAGGAGATCCGGAACAAGCTCGATGATTTTTTGGAGTATCAAATGTGTAGTTTCAAAAGCATCAGAATCTTCTGCAAAGGGAACCTTCTGAACCACGGTTGAGAGAAACTGAACAAAGCTCCCAAGAAATACAGTTCCTTCTTCACTGTTTCCAATGCTTCCTAAATGAGTGTCCACTCGGCACCAAGGGATCTTCGCAAGTGTCAAGTTGACAGATTCCAAGTATACATCAATAAGTTCATCATTTTCTTCTTGCCCCAAACGCTTTAATACATTACGAAGAACTCGAAAGATACCAGACACCGTGCACCCGTTAGCCTTCTCCATCTCATCTTTAAGAACATCAGAACCAATATAATCTATACTTGAATCCTCAAATCCCGTTGGAGATGAAACAATGCAACTGTAGATAACTGATAAGTACAAACAGTCACAAAGCAAGCGAATGAAATCATCCCATTGACTTCCCTAAAGAAAACAAATCATAATCAGTCTGAGAGAGCTGGGAGATAAAAAAAAAAAAAACATTCTAAAATCTCGAGCAAACATACAGATTCAACCAGAGACTCTGATACTTCCACAAGAATGTTGCCAGCTAAATGCTGAACATGCACATTCTTCACACCTAACAAACCAACCTGCCAAATCAAGCTTTAAGGATATGAACTCGTCTCAAAATCATTTAACAATCAATGTAGCTTACGAGATCGGCGAGAAGTCTTTCTAAGAGTATATGATCATTAGATTCTGGAGAAGCAGTTTCCTCTAGTTGATCCTGTTGAACGAAGCTAAATCAACTATAGCTGACATCAAACAATTCAAAGAGAAGGATCGAACCAAGGAACTAACCGGAGCATAATCATCAATGTTAATTTCACTAATCCAAGATTGAATCTCTCTCAGCACCTGAAGGATGCAATACCAATTTTGAAGCAAGTAAATTATAGGATCCATATAATTAATTGCATGATTAACAAAGATGTACCTGTGATAGAGAGATAAGTAGATCTTTCTCTATTGGCTCCGTCGACGAATTGGCTTCTCCTTCCTGTAACGGTCCAGTGTTAAGGGATTATATGAAACTCACGACGATAACGGAGAAGAGAAGTGCTTACAGCGTGGCGGCGGTGGATACAGCGATCGATCAAGAGATGAAGGCGAGAAATTAACTTTCCGGAAGTCATTTTTTCCCGGCGACTGTTTTCTCTCACCGGAATCAAAACCCTTTCAACTTAAAATCCTTCTCGGGTGTTTACCTAAACGCAGCGTTTTGAGGTGTTATTACTAATACGCAGCGTTTTGGCGTGTTATTAATTAAACGTGGCGTTTTGAGGCGTTATTGTTAAAACGCAGCGTCGTGTGTTTGTGTCTGATAATACATGGATTATGGCATCCGAATCCTTTGAAGCCCAATAGCTTCGTTAATTACCAGCTTAGTGAAAGTTTGTGCTGTGAATCTGTAATTGAGAATGTTTCAACATTACATTCAGATAATGTGGTTGTCTCTACTTAGGTTTTGGGGATGTAATCAATGATGGAGATGAGGTGGCTTGGAACACGATGATACTTGTGAGCTGGAGATATTATATAAAAAAAAGAAGAAGAAGGGGTTGTGCTGTTTTTAGGGCATGTTTCTATCGGGTGTTGATCCAACGCATACGATGATGCTGAATGCTTTCAGTAAATTGAGAAGCTATTCACTGTGGAAAAATTAACGCATCCCCGGATAATATATTCTCTTTTTAGCTGATTGATTTCACTTGTAGAAAATGCTCTTGTAGTTGAGGGGGATGATACCAAATAAACACAGGAGTAATAATATATTGTGTTGGTCAAGATGAATTACATAGGTTAAAGAGTAACATGTGTGTAGGATAGGTTATCAACCATGAAACAAGACTTTGTCTGTTCAGATTACGAATTAATCTAAACAAGTGTCCTCCTTTTCAATTCTAAATCACTTGTGCAAGAACAGTAAAACAGAGTAGAACGTTGAAAATTTTAAAGGCCCCTAAAAAACACAAACTTTCTCTGTTTTTCTAGTTTTCAGTAACATAAGTTCTAAAAGGACCAAGACACACTAAAGAGTTAAAAGAAGAGATCACTAAAGATTTGACAAAAGCCATTAGAGAGAGACTTAAAAGCTAATCGATAATCCTCAAGCTTTTCATGTGTGAGAGTAGTTCCCTGATGTCTTGATGGAGAGATCCGGCCACGCAAAGTACTCACCAGAGAAGACTCCACCCGCAGCGTTATTGCTCTCCAAACCCTCGAACTGCCACGTGGCTGGTATCGTAACTCCGTGATGATGACCACCACCGTTACTCCCTACATTCGTCGAAAACGGCCACACCGCTCTCCCGAGTCCAAAGCTGATGTCATCATAACCCGACCCGGATCCATGCGCCGCAGCCGCGATGTTGTTAGCGTTTTGGTTCAAGAGAGAAGTGAAACTACCGCAGAGAGATAAAGAACTTCCCTTTCCGTCAAGAGGAGCGGTAGTAACGCCGTTAGAGAATGGAGTAAACAGAACAGGCGTGGCTTGTAACGGAGCGCTGTGGAGTTCGCCTGAGGAGGAGGTAGAGTTAACGGGTGAAAGAGAGGAGGAGGAGGAGGAAGTACGGGAGCGTTTTGCGGATTTGCGAGTACGCCCGCCGACGGGAACGTCGCGGAGAGTGCCGCCGTGAGTCCAGTAACGGCGGCAGGATTTGCAGAAGTGACGAGGCTGAGAGAAGTTGTAGTTGTTGTAGTAACAGAACTTCGTGTTGGTTGATTCGCAGCGTGGACAAGGGAGTGGCTCTTGCTGCTGCTGCTGCTGGTTTGTTGTTACGGTGTGAGGTCTCATCGCGGAGGAGTCAGACGCCGTCATGGCTGAGAGAAGACGTGGGGAGGAAGAAAGGTTTGAGCTTTTTTTGTTGGGTTTAGAGTAAAGGTTGAGACTTTGGGGAGTGAGATTTGGAGAGTTTTGTTTTGGTCTTTTTTTTTATGGAGGAAAGGAAACAAAAGACATGCGTTAGATAGAAATGGGGGAGGAGAAGAAAGGCTTTTTTTTTTTTTTGACAGAGGGTGTTGGGTTGATTTGAGGCCACGCTTTCTCTCTCTCTCTCTCTATTGTCTTTAAAGTTTGTCTTTTTATGAAGTTTGTTTTGTTTTGTTTCTGGAAGGGAAGTGTTTGAGTCGGCTATGGATTGTCGTGAACAGTGATTGTTCTGTTCCCTTCCCCTAAACACTGTTGAGTCGGCTCACTTCTTACCTAGGTGGCGCTTCTTTCCAAGTTTTTTTCAGTTTGAATAATGAATTGTTGCTGACTGACTAATTTCTACATTATTTCAATCAATGTACAGAATCATCAAAAATATTCCACATTTTACAAACTAAAAATGTTTCTAATGTCATACTCCCTTTGTTTCAATAAAATATATATTTTAGAATAATATTGTTTCAAAAAGATACACTTTTTACATTTTTTATGTATTAATTAATAATAAATTGTAAATTTCAAAAAATTAATTGCGTTTATTAAAATCTCATTGGTTAAAAATTATCGGGAATTGTTAGTTATAAAAAATAATATATTTGTAATCAAAATTTTATATGTTCTTTTAATATGTGTGAAAAAACTAAAACATACATTTTTAAAAAATAGAGAAAGTATAAAATTAGTTGTTTGTTGTAAATGTTTTTTTTTAACTGATTATTGTTGTAAATGTTTTTTTCATAGATCAGTTAGATATATTTATTAGTTATAGTTAGTTGTCTGAGAGGGATTTAAAAGAAAGAAAACAATACTTAATCTCTTAAATATGTTTTTCAAAATCCATCTTAGATTCTTTTTTTTTTTTGCTTAAATCTGTCCATTCTAAGATACTTGGAATATAGATGTTCGTATATTCAAGTAGACTTGGCTTAATTGTTTGGTGGACCTTGTACAAATTTTTATTTTTCGAGAACAATAAAAATAATTTGTAAAATAAACTCTTAAATCTATAAAAATGGATTTCTAAATTATAATTAAAGTTTCTTAATTTTCACTGAACCTGTGCAAATATGCCTTGCCCATATAGCAAAAACCAACATTATACTTAAGTAACCCTAAAATAAGAAAGTAAAGTCCATCGATAGACTTTGCTTTCATGTTTCTTCGATTAATACTAATAACAATATTGCAGTATCATCATAAGTTTTAAGAAAATGATCAATTACATGATTAGACTCACGTTTGTAAATTACAAAATCATCAAAATAAAATAAGAGTATGCGAATATCACCATTTATAATTTCAAATAATATAATGTAAAAGTTTATGAAACTGTGACAGAGGGAATCAGATTCGGAGAACGCAATCAGAGGAGAATGTGTAGAAATAATAAAAATTATTCACGCCTTGTCCCAACCCTTCCCATCATTCTGTCTATCTCCGCATTTCTCGTTCGCTTATCGTTTCAATATTTATTTTTTTAACCATAAGAATCATTTTGTTGGAAAAATAACAACTTTGCAAGTGAACGTCAAGAACATACCCTACAAAAACATAAAACGTGATTAAGACAAATAGCAAATCCAACGGTTTTTTCAAGGTACAGTTTTCATACTGGTCTGGTCCATATGTTTACAAGCTTACATAAGTAGCGAAACGGGTCGGGTCGAAGGAGCTGTGGATAAGCACGCGCAGCCGGAGGAAGATGGATATGACCCACGCATGAATGAACCAACCACTATCCATTGTAACAATTTATCTTTCTCTCTCTTTAGTCGTTTTCACACCTAAAACAGTGAAGAGAGGAGCAGAGAGGTGTGGTTTGTGTGTTGTGGTGTGCCATATGGGACGAGATGTGTCCTTTCGTTGTCGGTTATTCGGGTCCGGACCAGTCCTTTCAGATCATACTACTGACACTCCCTTCACTTATTCTCTTTCTCTCTTTCTTCTTGTCTTTTTCTTCCTTAATCCTCACTGTTTTCAGATTCCAATTCTCACAAACCTTTGATCTGAGGGTATTCGTGTCTTTTATCATGTGCATCATAAGAGGCTAGTTTCGTCCTTTTCTTATATCTGCGCTTGAGTCCAACGGTCCAATGTTTTATCTTTTACTCAGTTCAGTTACCATGTATAAACAAGTATACAACTGATTATTCAGTTTCGCTTTTTAAAAATGCCTTTATATTTGTTTTTATTATATAAACAAGAGTATCAATATTAGATTCGTTATTCTATTTAAACTGGAACAAGATTTCAGTTTGATTTAAGGTCGTAACTATATTAATTGTATAAAATTACTCATCCAAGAAATGTTTGATACTAATAGGTAATTTTGACTCCTTGGTTATATACGCAAAGGGCTAAAGTTTGAAGACAGTTATTTTCTCATTCATTTAAGTACCCAACACTACTTCCAGATCCTAAAAACAAAAGTCTCTGCTAATGAACAACTAATAAATCACTAAACCAAAAGCCATAGCATAAATGAGTTGCATACAACATAAATGAAAATCACATGAATTTAACTTCAAATTCTGCACTTGCTAAAAAATGAACAAAACATCAGTAAATATATATTGTGCTTCAACGGTAATATAACCATATATAACCAAACAAAACAAAAACAAAGAATGGTCTCACATTGTCAATATCGAAATTACAATTTTTTTAATAACAAGGAAAATATATAAAAAGATTTTCAAAGGTCACGAAGGTGGAGGAGATTAAAAGGAGTAACATATTTGGAGTCGCCATTGAGTAGTTTGTCAGCAATGAGGAGATTAGCAGCTTCGCTAGGATGGTACGGGTCCCAAAACACATGCTTTGACCGGTCCGTACAAAGGCTCGAGGTTGGTCCACATGGTAATATCCCCGCCAATCTCCCTCCCGTCCCACAACACGCTTCACTCGATGTTGTAAACCCTATTTCCATTTTTCCACAATAATCAATAAAATTCATAAATCACTTTTTATAATTCATTAGAGAATTTTTTTCTATGTTTAAAACTCAGTCCAGTACCAAATCCAAAACTCACGATAGATATCCCTAGTAAAACTAGTATTTTGAATTCCTGATATATATAAGTTACCAAAGTTACTACTTCTTTTCAAAACTGTTCAAAAAAATAATAATAATAAATTGAAATATATGATGATATGTGAATTGCAAAAAATGTAATTTTTGAGTAAAAGGACCGAAACATTTAAGAGTTCATGAAGCCTATGGGCCACTAATAAATATCCATACCATATTGTTTGTAGTTGACAATGAGGTCCATGACTAGATCATAGACGTTTGCATACACAAAGTGTGCGTCTTTGAGACTATCTTTCAGTTCCACCATCAAGAGATCTTTGAGACGAGCATTGTACTGAAGAGCCAACTTGTTTGCCAAATCAACGCACTGTTTATCCTTTAGTTGATTGGTTGATTTTTGGTACGGTATACATCCGATTGGAGCCACGTTTCCCACCACAAATTTACGAGCGTCCAATGCATATAATCGCTAACATTTCATTCAAAAACGTACTTTAGTTTACATCAAGAAAGATAGAAAATACTTCATATCTAACATACCTTGAGTTGGTCACGAAGATGGTTAATCATGTCCTCAACAAAAGCTTCAGGGGGTTGTGTTAATCTTGCTTGAGCCGCAACAAAAGGAACTAAATAGTTGTTGAGAAAATCGTTTGAACCAATTACAATGGAGAATAGAGATTTCTTTATGTAATCTCTAGCCTTATCTTCACCCAAAAGCTTATCAAATTGTTTTCTTGTAATGCTAAAGTAATCAACTTGTATATCCATTCCTAACCGATTCACCTACACAATCGTATAATTTTGAACCGTTAGGTATATACAAAAAATCTACTGCATGTATATGTACACAGTCAAGCAAAAATTTTGAGTTGAAAAACATGTTTTAACACAAATTTATAAAAATAATCTAATAAAATTTAACGTAAACTTTTCCTGCCAATCAAACGGTCGTCACACGTAATATACGATAAATAAATCTGGACGAAGGCAAACAGACTTACAAATACACTTCCAGTAGCATTGAGAATTCCACCGCCACCTGATGCGTAATTCACACCATTTAGTAAGGTTTCACCATTTGCATTTGGTGCTAGATATGGAACTGCATAATTTGGTTGCCCTAGCTTTTCTCCTATAGACAACAAAATAAAATAAAATAAAATAGACATTAGCAAGCATAACCATTACAAAAATCGAGATGTTGATTTATATTTCAGAAATTATATATGGTTTTGCTAAATTACCAACGATGTCAGCTATAGTGCGACCGTTGGTAAACCGGCCGGTTGGATTCCCACGTGATGGTTTGAAATCGATGCCATTAGGAGGACTATTGGCTCTAGACAACGTTTGCAAGTAATTGTTATTTCCTGCGTCCACTAGTGAGTCGCCAAAGACAAACGACGCCGCTAAGGCCTTTTGATCTCCTGCACTAGCTACTCTTCTTGATCCAAAGAAAAACAATATGAAGAAAGGAACGAGAAATATAGCTTTGATCATTGTCATGGAATAATGGTTTACTTGTGTGTTTTTGGTGTTCTCTGACGAAAGAAGAGTTTATATAGATAATTATTTTGACTGGTTAAGAAGGTAGGAGAAGCAACCTTATGTGTTCGATTTGAAACTGGGTTGTTTAACTAACAAAAAGCTTTTTATGGTCAATATGTTCCATTTTTTTTTATTATTACAAAATGTATATACAGAAAGTTAGGACACCAAATATTTGTTGTGTGTTTATGGTTCAGAAAGTTTGAAAATCAAAGACCCTTGTTTTGGTATCTACTCTTACTCTGTGACATCATCATGCTTCTATATTATCACGAACTGAACTATTATTTTAGAAGAGACAACACTAAAAGTCTGGTTATAGGTTTACATGAAAAAACATAAGTTGGGATATATTATTGCGCTCTGATAAATTAGGTGGACTAGTTTTCTGTTTCGAATGCCATCGGAATCAACACAGAGGATATTAAAATGCTAATTTAAAAAAAAAAAAAAATTTGTTAAAAAACATTTCGCCGTTGCCGGGGATCGAACCCGGGTCACCCGCGTGACAGGCGGGAATACTTACCACTATACTACAACGACTTTGATGCTCGACAACTGACTCCTACTTTTAACACCTAATAAGTCTTCATCCTAATAAAACATCTCATTCTTTGACTTTGATATAAGAAAACCTCTTATTGCGTTCTACGTAGGTCACCTGTATAAGTTGTTTATGTTGAAGTGTTTTAGATGTTTTAGCAAACTAATTAATAGATGTCAACTATAAAATAGCAAACAAACATAATAAACATACTGTAAAAGAAAAAGAAAACATACTGAAAAAGATAGGAAACATAAAACAGTACCAAGTTCATTAATCACATGACAAAAAGACACATGTTCTTCAGCTAGCCAACCTTTTCCTAAGTTGTTTTTCTACTTGTTGCGTTGAGACTCCATCAATAAGTGCCATAATGGAGCTTAGAGAGCAGATGTATATATCACCACAAGGCAAATATCTCATCGAGTCCTACCACAGAACACAAAGATGGTTTTTTTTTTTTGAGCAACACACACAATGATGGTTTAAACATAAAATAATATTGATAATCTGCATTACACTACTATGGAATCGAACCACTGACTACAAACTTGTTAGCAGTCAAGTCGCACATATGTATCACTTGGTTCCAATCTTCTTGATTCTTCCTATGCCCAATCAACACTAAACACTTGCCGTCTCTACGTTCCAATACTCAAACCTCTTTTCGTTCATGCTTCACGAGGACCCACTTGAGATCAATGTGAATATACTCGAGGGCATAAACATAAATGACTTCCTTAGTGGCTGATACCAAAGTTAGTCTATTATCACCCGAGGCTAAAAGCCTTTTTGAACTCAATCCCTGAGGAACTTTAATCTGGATCAGTCGTGCTTGCTCTATTTCGGGTTGAATGCTACGATGCCTCTATTTCGGGTTGAATGCTACGATGCTTCCATCATTTCTTAGCCAGTGGAGAGTTCCGTCCAAGTAAACAAGGTTTTCATATAGTTATCAAGATCGCTTAGGAGGCAAGTAATTGCTTCTGAAAATCTCCATGAGTTTGCGGCATTAATCTCGAACCAATACCTAGTTTCATCATTCTTTTTCACTTAAAAAGGTAATTAGAAAGAGGTATAGCATATATTTACATATGTAGTTAAGTTCATCTAAATGAAACTTCTTCAGCACTAAACTCTTTAACTGGGAGTACGTAGGAGCATGTAGACAAAAAAGTTAAGAGCATTTTTTTTTGTCTCTATGATCATCATGTTTCTTTCTAGGTTGAATAATGTAGGTTATGTCTTTGAATAATAAATTGTGAAATTTAAAGAGTTAATCAGCTTTATAACTGAGGATTGGAGCACATCCAAATATCCACTTACAAAAAAAAAAATACATCCAACTATAATAATATTACCTCCCCTATTTTCACTATCTTCAAAAATATATCACCTCTTTATTAATCTCCTATAATATTTGATAAATTAATACTAGAATATTGTAAATTGTATAATTTGTAAACTAACTACACGTAGTCCTATTGCCTAGGAAGAAAACGGCGAAGAACATCTTCATCTCCTTAAGAGGCTGACACGTGTCCGTAAGGGTTTGTTCCCTGCGAGTCCGTGGCCTCGTCGTCTTTGTCCTCTTGCTTTCCCGCTCTGCAAGATAAGAGCATCTCTTCACACACATCAACCGTTTGTTAATGGAGGAATCGTATCTCTTCACACAGCACACTAAGTAACGCACAATCACATGACGTTTCTTTCCAACTTCCTCCGACGGAGACTCCGCACTCTCTTACGCACCTTCTCTCGCGAAGATCCTGATCTCCACGTCAAATTAGGGTTTACCGATGCTCTCCTCACGTTACGGAACTTCCGATTCGATGTTCCTCACCTTAATCAGCTCCTCGACGGATCCAATTTCTCCTTCGAAGGGTTCACCGTCGACCACGTGGCTATTCGCCTCTCCGTCTGGTCAGCTCCGGCTGTTCAGATCGAAATCCGCGGCGTACATGTTAAATTGACTGCTACGTAAGTTGATTTAATCGCTCAATTGTTGATTTCGTGTAGTTGATTAGGTTTTTGCGTGTAGAGGGAAGGAGCAAGGAAGCTCACGTGACACTGTAGCGAATGAGATTAAGAAAGTTTTGTCATCTATTGATCCCGAGGTTACACCTTGTTTTTTAATTAACTCTTGTGATTGATTTGGTTGATGTAAGTGTAACTATGTGTGGTTATTTTAACATTGTAGGGATGCTTATTGCATGAAATCTTGGAAAGAATGCTGGACGGTACGTCTCAGAGAAGTAAGCTCAAGACTTCTTTCTCGAATCTTGCTATCAGGCACTTCCGTATTCAGATACATGGTGTTAATGTTCAAGTTCGTTTCCCGGGTTTGGGTGACTTGGGTTGTGTTCTGGAAATCGACGAGCTGAGGAGTGATTCTGAGGATTCTGGGAAGATTGGTTTATTGAGGAGTTCAGCTGCTGCAGTTTTGTTCCCTTTGAGACGTAGTTCCTTGACACTGAGTGGGAACGGTTTCAGGGTTGGATATAAGAGGGATAATGATAGCTTTGACGTTTGTGCATTTGACAGTGTTGTCGTTTTGATTACGCTGCATAATCTTCAGGTTACTGATTTGATCGTCCGTGTTCCAGAGTTAAGTTTCTCGTTTAGACCTGCTGATCTTCCTGTTTTAATGGGATTGGCGAAGGTTTTGTCTAAAAATAGCAATTCTGTGAGAAGTGGACGTTATCTTTGGAAAGTAGCTTCTCGCAGAACTGGCTTGATGATCTCTCCTCACAGTAATTCGTTCCATAATTTGGTTAGTGCTGTTATCCTCTGGATGAGATACGTGAATGCTTATGAGGTTTTGTTATCTTTAGCTGGGTACTCTAGGAAAACGCCAGAGAAGTCAGCACTGTGGAAAGTTTCAGAAAACAAAAGGCAGTTTATGACTGCAAGACGTAAATGGGATATGATATGTGATATTGAGAAAGAGCTCCCTGCTGAAGCAATCACACGGGCGCGCAGAGTAGCCCGATACAGAACTTGCCTGAATTCACAGAATGCTAATGATGATTATGAAGAAACTTCCTTATATGGCCACTTCAGTTATCTGTGTCAGATCACCTGGGTTTTAGCTTATATATGGAGACTTATTAGTAGAGCATTCTGGTCGGTAGCCTGCTTTCTCTCGTTGAAGAAATTGTTGACCCAAGAACTACAAACTGATGGGAACAGTGAAGATGATTCTGAGCGGGCATCTCTTGAGTTTCATGCAGCTGTCAATCTTGGGAGACTTTCTTTCACATTTTATCCAGAGAAAATGATTTCAGGTTTGATGTCATCGAAAGACAGTACTGGACATATGGACTCAAATGTTGCCACTCTTTTTCTTTCGTTTGATGAGATTTTGGTAATGCATACTGCTGACTGCCTTAATCAGTGTTCGTCTGCTTCCTGTGGAAAGCTGAAGATTGAGTCCGCTAGTTTTATAGAAACCAGTCGTTTAAGGAGATCTACAAAGGATCCCAGTACTTCTGCGGAAAGAAATAAGAAGCATATGCGAGAAGATGTGAAAACTATCCTAGAGATGGACCCAGCACAGCCAATTCTAGTTTCCAAAGCAGGTAACAATCATAGTAATGATCGACATGAAGGCATTCTGCATCTGCAAAATCTCCTGAGAGAAATGTGGTCGAACTGGAACAGCAATTGTGTGAAGTTGGATAAAAGTACTTTTAAAGTTTCTGATAACCCTTGTCTACTCGTTGATATTAAAAGCTGCATAGCATATGAGGATGCTGGTAACCAAGATTCTGGGCTCTGGAAATGCAGCATGATATCGGGAAAGTTAGATATTGCTTTAGATTATTCATCGTTGTTTTCAATGGCTCTTTTAATTTGGCAGACACAGCAGTCTCAAAGCCTATTTGTAGACGAAAGTACTCAAGGGGTGGTTCATTCAGGTTCTTTGGTAACAGATGGTGTTGATCCTGAAATGGCTAGTTCTGACAAATATGGAATCTACAGAAGGATTATTGAACTATCTTTGCATAGAGTTCATCCAGAGAGACATATCCAGGTTGGCATACTTGTTGGTGGTCCACAGGTCAAATTGTTGGTGGAGAAGGCTGAAGAAGTGGGTGTTTTAACTGGGCAGAAAGATCTTCTTTTATTTGATATCCATGATCTCGAGTTTGTGGTCTGGCCGACATCAAAATCTGATGTGGCGCCATTTAGGATGCTTCAAGGGCCTGACAACACAAGATCAGATAGGCATTCGCTTCAGGAGCGGGGGCTAAGTGATACTGTGATTCCAAGTTATGAAAAATATGTTTCTCAAGGATGGAATTCTCTGTCCTCACACCTAGAGTTTCCAGGAATTGATTGTTCTTTCTGCAAAATGGCAGAAAAGAAGTGGAGTCAGTTTTTTGTATTGAGACCCGTAACTGTATGCTTTTCATCCTTAAGGTGTGTGGTGTTTCTTCTTATATCAAATTACTCCCTTTTAATCATTGGGTGCATATGTTCTAGACTAAGCGACACATTGCTTTTGTCTCCCTGCTTCATACATATTTTGCTTGTCATGTTATACGAGGATTTTCTGATAACATCAGTTAGTGCTGAAGATTGATAGTTAGCTGCATCTCCTACCCAAATTATAGGACTCAACTCTGGTGATTCGTTGAACTAGTTAGTGTATGTCACCGTCTATAAGATATTTACACAGAAAAGAGGGTCTTATCCCGGGTATCTCGCTTTCTGTGAAAGCTAATTATCTGTCTCCTCTTTCCGCGGTTTTATTTGTATTTATATTCCTTTTTCGATTTATGTGATGTTTTTAAAGTTCCGGCTGAAATCACTATTTCATATCATATCACTTCATTACGCAATCAAGTATTGTAAATTGGTAGCAGCCATCATTTACATTAATGCAATTTCCATCTGAACCTGAGAGAACTGCAATTTATTGCAGAGAGCATCTTTATTCCTTTAGCCAAGCTATTATCGGTTTCTCAACTGGTTTGGACGTGTTGGTGTTGGGACTGACTATTGTATCAAATACGGATGACCTAAGTGCGTACTTTCAGGTAAGAGAGGCTTTCTTGGCACTTTTCACTTTTCACGTCTTTAATCTGCTAAGTATTTAGAAAATTAGTTTCCTACCGCATGAGTTTATATTTTTTTTCGTGGATCATACAAGGCTCAGATGTTTGAAAGCATGATTTTCATTTCCCTTTTTAAGTGTGTACCTTATTTTTTTGCTTAGGTATGATGTGGATTTTCTTTTATGATTTGGCGTTGTGTCAGAAAAATATTCTTTTAGGCTTTCTTAACTTTGACATGATGCTGAAATACTTATGAGTTCCTCAATCTAAACGAACCTGTCCTTGTGCTTGTTCGGTATAAAATGCCGAGCTTACCATCGGAATTGCTTCAAGATCCTAATTTCCTTTTAGATTATCAAAAGGTCATGCAAGTAAGTTTTGTTATTTTTTCACCAGATGCTTCTAAGCTTAGTTTCTGGGCTATCCCGTGGTTTGAGCGGCCCCAGCTCTGCGGGTCATTCACTGGGACAGGGGTTTCTCAGGTCTGACACAGTGCATGTGGAACATGAGACTGAGAAGACTTTTTGCAAAACTCTTTATGCTGTGAAAGCGAGCATTAAGGTTAAGGCTATAGATGTGATATTTGATCTTCCTGTAGCAGACGAAAAATTTGAGAAGCCAACAGAGCTAGCTGATTCGAGAATCTGGTCTTCTGTCCAGGAAGCTTGCGCTGAACTATCTTGTGAAGAACATAGGTTTTTAGTCATTGTTGATTTGTGTGAACTCCAATCTATACTCTTCAAATATAGGGATAATATATGGAAGAGTTCTGGCAGCTTTATCATAGAATCTTTGCCGTTCAGGCCACATGATATGTTGTTTGAAGCATGTCTTTCGAGCTGCATATTGAGTGTGGGTATGGATTGCTCAATCCCATCAGCTCGAGGGGACGCTTGTCGTATTGCTGGTGATTATTCAGGAAACGCATCAACAGAGAATGAACCGACTACAAATAGTGTTCAGGTTCAGAGAGAAGTAGACCAGTTGGACTCTACTTCAGACTCTTCACTGTCCAACTTGACCAGTTGGATACACATCGATTTAGCATTGACTGACTTACTTGTAGCTAAGTGCTCAACAAAACATGTCTTGGTTGAAGTTCGTCGGTCAAGTAACTTCGTAACATCGGTCTCTATTGGGAGAAACTTTCAGTCAGTTTCCTGTAGAATCGAGGTAAATGAAACACTGCTCGCTTACATATTGACTATCTCTATATGGTGCTTTAAATAACTTGCCATGTTGTTTGCAGGGTGGTCTTTTTGTCCTTGAACCAGAGGCGTTGATAGGGTTAATTCATGGTTACTCCGCATACCTTTATTTCATTTCAAGTAAGATGTCAGTGATTCAATCTCCCTCACCAGTTCTTGAGCAAGTCGAAGCTGGTTCAGGTGTCAGTGAAGTTAATATTCCTTCTCAAGAAGAAATATGGTACCTCTTAGAAGCGTTTTCTATAGATGTTGCCCAGTTTGCAGTGGGTTTTGTCTGTGCTGATGAATATGGTGAGTTGTACTATCTTTGTCCACTTATTCAAATTAAAATTTTCAAAGAAATGATAATCGCCTGATTTTGCAGGAGGTATAAGAGAAATTGTTCTGGAGATCAATCTCCACAGTTCCCTTGATTCAGCAGACAGAGAACAGAAGTTTCTTTGCGAAGTTTCTCGCCTGTCAGTTCTTTCTAACATTCTTGAGAGCGTGGAAAAGGACATAAATATTACACAGTTCTCTTCTCCAGCATTTAGTGAATCTTCTTCTTTTATGTCTGGGGCTCCTCTTGAAACACCATTTCAGCAAAGAAATGTAATTAGCTCAGGTGATAGCACAAGTGTTTCAGGAGATTTTGTTGGTCTAAGAGAATCCTCTACAAACAGCAATTTACAGGAAGAACTTCACTCTCGGTATAAAAACTATATTCTGGAAGACCTACGTTTGTCTGCATCTGTGAAAAAGCGAGAAATTACCGGTCACCAGTTTAGCCAGGCCTGGGAAGGCGGTTGTTCTGTTCTAGGATTTGATATAACCATTTCTCTGTCAGAATTGCAGGTATACATATGTAAACAGTATTGAAATATTCCTTATGTACTAATACCCTTGTTTTCTTACCTATCATGTGTTGTTACATCAGATGGTCCTTTCAATGCTTTCATCCTTTTCTACGTTACCTGGAAAAGAAAGTACACATGCTTCTGTAGAAAGGCCTTCATTTAATAGTGCACCTGAAAGAAGTTTCGAGTCTGTAGTTCCTGATGGTAAGTAGGTATATTAATGATTGAGCCATTCATACAAAATTGGGTTTATTCTCCTAATGGAAGATTGATATACGTATAGGAGCGATTGTTGCCATTCAAGATATACACCAACATATGTTCTTCACAGTGGAAGATAGAGGGGACAAGTGTGTTGTGGCTGGTACCCTTCATTATTCTCTAGTCGGAGAAAGAGCTCTTTTCAGGGTATGTACATTATAATTTGAGAACAAGAGTTGAATAATTAGTATTCTTTGATCTTTAGTATAAAATCAGGCCAGCTACCTTTTTATTTGTTTCCCTGTCTGTCCTTTTTTCATGATGATATCCCGTAGAAATTTTGAATTCATGTGCAGGTCACCTACCACCGCCATCAAGGATGGAATTCATCCATCTTATGGTTCTCCTTGACATCTTTGCATGCCAAAAACAATAAAGGAGAGCCATTACGGTTAAACTATCATTCAAGGTCAGATATTGTTAACGTCTCTGGACTTTATGACAATGCACCAACACTCTTTCGGGCCACTGTGGGTGAATCCGAAAATTATAAGGGTGACATTGACTGGGAGACATACCGTAAATTGGTCAAAGATTCATTTTACCTCGTCAACAAGAAGGGTGATTCAGCTGTTGCATTTATCGATGGTGTTCCAGAATTTGTCCGGAAGCCAGGAAATCCATTCAAGTTTAAAGTGTTTCATGAAAGTTTGGCGACTCGTAATATTACATCTGTGGTACCTCCCGAGATCTATGATTCTGAAACGCAATCTGTGATGAACTCTTCTCCCCCTTCTATTACCTTTACGGTTGACGGCGTATCTCTGACCATTGTTCATGAACTTTCAGAAACAAGGGACAGATTTCCCCTGTTTCGTGGTTCAATCAATATGTCTCTGCTGACTTTACAAATGCTATCTTGTAAAGTCAGGATTATGAGCACATCAAACGTTTTAGTGCTGTACTTTGATGCTCAGACAAACCAATGGTGAGAAGTTCTCTTTCCCTGAGCTCTTAAAGATATTTCTGGCCTATATAGAATTTTCGTAAGCGATGGTTTTTCTTTTCTTCTGGAATAGGCGGGAATTTATACATCCAGTTGAAGTTAGTGTTTTCTATCGTTCAACTTTTCAGACCCAGGATCTTGAAAATACTATTCACAAAGTACCTAGCCATGTTTACTGCAGAATTGGAAAGGTGCTCAAAGCTTCTTACTGCATTTTCCATAAAGTCTTTAGCTATATAATTCGTTATATATTTTTTCCCTCGCATGTGCAGTTGGAAGTCTTTGTAACCGAGCTGTCATTGGATATGCTCCTTTATATGCTTGGGAAACTGGAGGTTGCTGGTCCATTTTCTGTGAAAACCTCCGTTATTCTTGCCAATTGTTGCAAGGTTATCCTTTCCCTGATTACTGTCCACTGCTTTTATAGTTTTCGTACTTTTTCCCCTGATTACATCTGTTCTATAGAGTAACCATGAAAAGAATTCGTCTTTTCAGATAGAAAACCTCTCTGGCCTTGACCTCGCATGCCGTTTCAATGAGAAACAGACTGCTACAGTTGGTAGGAAGCAAACTGCTTCGATTTTTCTTCGGTAACTTCTTTGCCCCTTTATACCTTGTTTCATTCTGCAATAGGAAGATGCATGTGTTTATGCTGAATAATAATTTCACTTCTGAATAAGGTGCAGAAGAGAAGTATTAAATTAAGAATAATTTTTTTGAACTAACTGAGAGTGGAGACACATTTTCACTTCTGCTTTATCATAACAAAGTTGATGGCAGATCCCTAATCGTGTGTAATATCTTGTAAAGGCATTCAGTGAACCATCAACCAGAAATTTCTCCAGTGGCTGCGGTTCAGCTATCTTCTGGAAATTTCGTAACTTCTTCTATTAACGTTTCTTTGTTAGAAGCCAGAACACTAGCTTGGAGAACAAGGATAGTATCACTCCAAGGTACTTTGATGCTTTTCACACCTATATATGTTCATGGTTTCCCACCTTAATAAGAATACGTTGCAGCAACTGCTGAACTTTATAAATGTTATACACTTTATAGATTCAAGGAGTCATCCTGGACCATTTGTTGTTCTTGATGTTAAGAAGGGATTTGAGGTATGTCTAAAGTTGATTCAAGGTTCTATAAGATCATTTATCAATTAATGCAGTGTTTCCTTTATCTTTTGCATTTGACTACAACCTGTAGGACGGTTTATCGATCTCAGTTTCTCCTTTGACAAGGATTCATAACGAAACTAGTCTTCCGATGGAGATACGTTTCCAACGATCTAAGCAGAAGAGAGATGTTTTTGCTTCTGTACCTCTGAAGCCTGGTGGTTCAATTGATGATTCAGTGGCAGCATTTAATGCCATAAGCTTATCGGGTGATCTGAAGAAGGCGCTGACATCTTTGGCTGTTGGTAGGATTCTGGTTTCTTGATACGATAGTCATAATTTGAACTTTTAAGTAAAGTTAGAAACGTTCCTTTATCACAATAGGTTTCCATCAATTTGTCTTTTTTCGTTTCCCTATATTTCTCTACTTTAGTTTGCAGGTGATATCAGTAGTCTAGTTTCTCTTAACAGACATGATTTAACCACAATGATTCTATTAGTGGCATTCTGATTGGTTTCATAAACTAAATGGCAGGTAATTTTTCACTCTCGTTCAGACCTAGATCTTTGGAAAAAATTTCTGAGAGTGAGAAGTCACTGGCGAGTGAATGGTCTGAAGAGCTTGAAGGAGGGAAGGCGGTACGCCTAACAGGAATTTTTGATAAATTAAGTTATGAAGTTAAAAGGGCTTTAGATATCAAATCAGTGAACGTCTCCTTGACTACTACATATTGCTCTGTCACATCTGAAAGTCAGTGTGTCGACAAGGTGCATTTTCTGATCCATAGCGTTGGGAGGGAAGTATCTATTGTACGGCCTGATGCATCCTCTGATGTGTTTGAGAAACGGAGTGCATATATTGCATTGCGAGAGCAGAAGGAAATTTTTCTTTTGCCCACCGTTCAGGTGTCCAATTTCCTATCCTCTGAAGCAGCCATTTTTTTGACAGAGACTGGTACTGCAGAAAAGTGTGTGCTTTTTAGGTTACATATAACCTGCATCTAACATTACTATCTCGCTCGCAGATCAATTAACCTCGATGGAGAAACATAGCATTGGCAAGCATGCGACGGTACAGAGCGGAAAAACAATGGATTTCTATGCTAATCCTGACATGATATACTTTAGAGTTACTCTCACTGCTACTCAAACGAGCTGCAAACCAGTCAACAGTGGTCAGTGGGTTAAGAAGTTACAAAAACAGAAAGATGATGCAGAATCTTTGGATGTTGGTCTTGATTTTGCTGGTGGAAGATACTCTGCTTCCTTGAGATTGTCGTTAGGAAAAAGAGGCATACTGGAGGTCATGTTTTATCTTGAATTCTGTTTCCATCCTGATTGCTTTTTTAAAAAATATCTTTCTGGTGCAGGCAGCCGTTTTCACGCCGTACATTCTTAAAAATGACTCAGATTGCACCTTGTTCTTCTATCCCCCTGATCAAAAGCCTCCATCCAGGTACATAAATCTAAATGAAGATATTTTTTTACCTGGTGATGGCTATTTACTTTTAAAGTAAACAAATACAGGGAAGATTTGGGGAAACTTGATCACATTGTACCCCATGAGTTTGGATTGTATTTGCCCAAAAAGACAGAGGGGTCGTGGTTCTTACGGTACGTTATCCGTGCTCATCATATAGTTATTTCAACCTAATATCATTTAATGAACTACTTTGCTTGGCCAGATCACGCAAGGTTAGTGTCATATTGGCTGATGGTCACGAGGCGACTGAAGCAGTGTTGGATTTGGATGCTTTATCAGGACTTACAGAAATTAGTTTGGTAACAAAAGACGACTCTGGAGTTCGGTATATAACAAGGTTTGGGTTGTCAGTTAAATCAATCTCAAGTAAGATGGTTGTTCCATCACGGATTGTGACTTTTGTTCCGAGACATCTTGTAATCAATGAATCGGAGGAAACCATCAACATCCGCCAACGCTATTTTCAGGTTCTTGTTGTGTCCCCTTTCAGATTCTTGTTTTTTTTTTGCTTTTATCTCGGGAACATGAATTATTTACTTTTCTTTCTATCACTTTTTCGTTTTCTTGGAAGGATGACTCTGTAGGCATAATCACCATCAAGAGTAAGCAGAGAGCAGCCTTACGATTGCAGGAGGAAGCTACACTGAGAAAAGAACGTCATCTGTTCGAAAATTTTATCAAAAAGCACGGAAGTGACAATGCTAATCCTTTGACTTTCATTCAGTTCCGGTTGAACAAGGCAAACTTGAGTTGGTCAGGTCCGTTGTGCATCACTTCAATTGGCTGTTTTTTCCTCAAGTTCAGAAAGCAGTCAGGTGAAACAGGCAGAGGCGCAATTGAATTCGCAACTGTAAATGTTACTGAAGAAGGATCAACTCTTGCTGTGCGCTTCCAAAAACCACCAAATACCCCACCACCATATCGAATTGAGAATTTCTTGTCTGCATCTCTCACTTACTACCAAAAGGTCGGCCACATCCTACTTTATGTCATCGCTACATATGCGTTTTTTGTTTTTAAATGGATGTGCATCAGTCAGTGTCCGTTGCTGAATTGCAGGATTCATCAGAGATTGAAGTACTAGGACCTGGAAGTGGTGCTGAGTATGCATGGGATGATATGACCCTTCCTCACAAGCTTGTAGTTATAGTAGATGGTAATAGTTGGCTTCCAGTCTTTCATGCTTAGAAATTACCATCTTCCATTACGTATTACAAAAAAGGCAGTTTATTCCATGTTATAAATCTACTAGCACTCATAGGTATTTGATTGACCAAAAAGCTGTTTTTTGTTTTGTTTCAGGCATGATACCTCTGCGTGAAGTCAGCTTAGATAAGGTTCGTCCATGGAAACCCCTTTTCAAGGCAACTCAACACAGAAGCATAGCCTCCCACTTAATGTTGGAAAAGAAAGCCAAAGATCATAAAACTGCCTATGAGCAATTGAGTAGCATGCCGATGGTAAAGGTCGGATATGAAGTATATGCAGATGGTCTGACTCGAGTCATTCGCATTTGTGAAGTTTCAAAAAGCCTTAAAGAAGACTCAGTATTCCGTTCACGTTCAAAAATTCAATTCCGGATAACCCATTTAGGAATTCAGTTACTTGAAAAAGTGAAGCAAGTAAGTCGATCCTCTACCTCTCTTTTGCACCATCATATACGTACTATGTAGCTATTCCTGCATTAGTTTGTGTCGACCTCCTTTGCCACATACTTGATTCCGCGTTCAAATGTTTATGCAGAATGCAGAGGAGAAATCTGTCCCATCTTATTCTCCGATCCTATTGGCAAGACTAGATAATTTTGGTCTACAATCCATGTTCACTGACCAACAGAAATTTAACCAACTATGTATAGAGGTATACTTTTATGAAGTGCATTCTGGTTGGCTTGGTTTTCTAGTTGCAGAAATAAAACAAGGCTTTTGTCTTTGGGTACTGCAGGCTCTGAATGTGGATCACAAATGGGCAGGGGCACCCTTTGCAGCCATGCTTCGTAAGCATCATTCAGATTCCAGTGACGGAAATGGTTGTATGTTCAAATGTGTATTTGTTCTAGCATCAAGCGGTTCCAGCGTCACACAAGTCAAGCACGCCTCAATAGTTTTGCAGGTATTGGGCGGTACTGTCACTCTCTTCGAATTGCGCCTTACCTTTGTTCTCCTCACACTATCTAAATCAATGAGTAGAAAATAGAACAGACAACTTCCGACTCTTCAAGTATTGATTATATTAGAGCAATTCGATCGTACTCCTGCTTTTGCTGTTGGATTTAATATTCTTAATGTGTTACGTGCAGCCAGTCAATTTGAACCTAGACGAAGAGACTTTGATGAGAGTTGTAGCATTTTGGAGATCGTCTCTCAGTACAAGTACTACACAAAGTAGTCAATACTATTTTGACAATTTTGAAATTCACCCAATAAAGGTTTGTTCTAACAGCTGTTCTAATAGTCTTCTTTTCAAATTGTATTGTATGCTGTAGTTAAAAATACTACATCCGTTTCTCATCTTTTCGATTAGATAATTGCTAATTTTGTTCCTGGGAGCTCATATTCGAGCTATAATTCCGCTCAAGAAACTCTGAGGTCATTGCTGCATAGTGTTGTTAAGGTATGTGCATCAAAAAAATTCATATCTTATTATTTTCTGTTTTGCGTTTATTCACATGCCAGCCGGTACTTTGTTTTCTGTAGGTTCCACAGATAAAAAATATGGTTGTAGAGCTAAATGGTGTACTAGTCACCCATGCTTTGATCACGGTTCGCGAACTACTTCTCCGATGTGTAAAACATTACTCATGGTATAATCTTTTGCTTGTATGTTAAAAGTTCTTAAGTATACTTCCCCTCTGTTTTTAGATATTAATAATTTGGATGACTGCTTTTCAGGTATGCAATGAGAGCAATCTACATTGCAAAAGGCAGTCCATTACTTCCGCCAGCTTTCGCATCCATGTTTGATGATTTTGCATCTTCCTCCCTTGATGCCTTTTTTGATCCTTCTCGAGGCTTGGCGAACGTCCCTGGTTTGACAGTGGGTAAGAAATGAGCATCTCTGGTATCAATACCTTCGTTTTTGGCTTCTATATGCATCATTGAAGGTGGAAATATTAATTTTCTTATATCTGTTATAGGCACCTTCAAACTCCTCAGCAAACTTATTGACAAAAAAGGATTGTCAGGGACAAGACGTTACTTTGGTGATCTTGGGAAAACTGTACGTACCATATAATATATGGATCATGAACTTCCAAGTTCTTTTCTCGTTAAACCACTTATGAAACTACCATGTCGCAGTTAAGAACAGCAGGATCCAATGTCATCTTCGCTGCTCTCACTGAAATCTCAGACTCTATTCTGAGGGGTGCAGAAATGAAAGGGCTTGATGGACTGGTGATGACTTACCTCCTTTCATACTGATGATCAGTTAGGCTGAAGTTTCATTTTTCAATCATCTTTCTTTCTATCTTCTCCCACAGGTTAGCGGATTCCACCATGGAGTCCTAAAACTAGCGATGGAACCTTCGGTGATAGGAACAGCTTTGATGGAAGGTGGGCCTGATAGAACAATTAAGCTTGATCGTAGTCCCGGCATTGATGAGGTGATGTCTCACGACCTTTTTATAAAACTTCAAACTAACGTTTTTATAATAGAAGGATCACACGGCTTCCTTAACATGCAAAACCTAAAGAGAATAAGCTTCTCGTCATATCTACTAAGTTCTTAAAAATATTTAGAATCATTGTCACACATTCTTGCGAGACTTATGTTCATATTCACTACTTGCAGTTATACATAGAAGGCTACCTACAAGCTATGTTGGATACAATGTATAGACAAGAGTATCTCAGAGTCAAAGTCATTGATGATCAGGTAAGTTTCAAGAACAATATCTTTTGCTTTACCATACCCAAAAACGTAAAAGATTTCATAATTTATATAAACTAGAAATCATGAACTTGCTATTTTCCTGACTGAACAAACATATATATTTATATATACTCACTTATAGGTTTTCTTGAAAAACCTCCCACCAAGCAATTCTCTGATAGATGAGATGATAGACCGAGTCAAAGATTTTCTGGAAAGCAGGGGATTGCTCAAAGGAGATCCTTCAAGCTCTCGTCCTCGTCGCCGTCTCCATGGAGATAAGGTTTAAACTCATATACCTTTATTCCCTTGGATTTTAATGGATCTCTGAGTAATATATGTGCATCTTGATAATGATCAGGAATGGAAGATTGGGCCAACGGTGATGACGTTATGTGAACATCTATTCGTAAGCTTTGCAATTCGCATACTTAAACAGCACGCCACCAAGTTCATATCAGGTCGTTGGCCAAAGAAAGAAGAAGAGGCAGAGACTAGTAGTAGTGGCAGTGGTTCCAGTAGTGCAATAGTACCGGTACTTGATGAGAAGAAGAAAAAGAAGATGAAGTTTATGTGGAAAGCTGGTATTGGTCAGTTCGTGGCTTCAGGAATCGTAGCGTACATCGACGGACGTTTGTGCAGACAGATTCCTAATCCAATAGCTCGTCGGATTGTTAGTGGGTTTCTGTTAAGTTTTCTTGACAAAAGCAATGACCAATAATAATGACTTCCTCTGTAAATCTGTAAATATTATTCTTACAGTGAAAGAAAATAGAGTAAGTGATATGCCACATCATTCTTCTAATTGTGTCTGTCTACTTCTTTACTGTTTCTTTTTGTGTTTGATTTCCACACAAAAAAAGTCGATAGCTTCTTTAGACTTTGAACAATAATAACTCATGTCTCTAGACTCTGAACCAAGACCCGACCGGCTTATTTTCTTGTTCGTATTAATGAAAACCAAATTATTTTAAAAAGGCATATTATTAAACCGGGTAATTAACTAAAACCGGCGAATGAAGTTGAATCAGTAGCAAACCGACTGATTAAATCTCAAAACCGTGTTTTTGTTACCGTTAACTTCACAAAAGCGTGATCCCTAAGCTACATGAAAAAGGAAATTAGTTTTGGTTATAAAAGAAAAAAGGAAATTGGTAAAATCGTATTTTCGTTATTTCCTTTTTGCCGAAAACAAATTCCATCTATATAAACAGATAGCAGTCTCCTCTCTTTCACACACACCACTCTCCCTTCTATCTCTCTCGTTTTTGTGTTTTGTCTCTTAACTCAAGAAAGAAAAACGATGGCTTTGTCCGATGATCTTCCTCCCCAACTCACGAGAGATGTCAAAAGGAGAAACAGAAAAAGAAGAACCGTGAAAAGCAAAGACGTTGAATTGTTGATCAGCGTCGCTACGAGAGCCGCTCATATCGCAAGAGACAAAGGGTTCCACGTCGTCTCTCCGGAAGCAATAAGATGCGTTGAAGTTCTAAGAATGATGAGAAGCATGCCCTTGACTCCTCGTCTCATCACCAAAACAGACCTCTTACGTGTTCTTCAATTCTTGGCCACGAATGGTAACCCTAAAATCAGATCAGAGTCGAGATCCGTTCTTAATCACTTGAGGGGTGTTCTTGCGAGTAGCTGAAGAGAGGACTTTTGCTTGGAAGACACGAAGGTTGAAGAAGAGAGTATAAAAACTAGGGTTTTATTTTCTGAACAGTATTTTTTTTTTTAACGAATTCTTTTGAATCGCCAAGTAGAATCTAATACTTTTGTTGTTGTTGTTGTTTAGTTCAAATTCTTTCATGATTGAATTAAATTGGTTGTTAATATAACAAATTTGCGTGATTTGAAGACAGAGAATTGGGTTAATCATACTTCTTACATAAAAATAAAGAGATAGTGTTGAACTTGCCTCTGAATTTGTGAAGCTTTTCTCAGCGATTATAAACGATGTCTCCTCTCACCTTCCTGTCACCAACAGAAAACCACAAACAACAATATTTATCAATGATTAGCCCTTCAATTTCTTTCTGGAAATATGATGTTGACTTGGTGGAGTGTCTTGAAGGTGAGTCTCTAAAAGAGTCAGATTTTGTTCAACGTAAATATTCTTTTCAGGTAACACTTTTAACCCACTTTAATAACTAAACAAGTCATCAACAAGTCCTCCTATATGCTTCTTTACCAGATATAGCTGCGATTGTCTTTGGAAAACAATGATGTTTCAGCCCATCAGGTGGCACTAAACTTGGGAACAATCATTGTAACATTAGAACATATCGACTATACATTCCATTTTGTCTCATTGATTTGGTGGGGCATATGACTGTACAGAACATACGGGTGCTGCGTCAGAATCTAATTCCACTATTGTAAGTGTAATGAGCTTTGAGACTTGCACCCCAAGTTACATGTATTCGATGAGCAGAACTTTATATTTCCTTTTTTACAAAAACTCAGTCACAAAGTCTCTTCTCACTCTCTCTATATTCAATTAAAATTATATATCCAGTAATATTTTTCCATCTCACTCTTTGAAAACAATAAGCCTTATTTTTGGATCTTTGAAGGAAATTAAGAGGATAAATGTTAATTTATAACCTACTATTCATATTTACCAACCAAACTTTTATTTAAAAAAAATTACAGTCAAAATTCATGTTAAACCAAATCATTAAAAAGATCCATATTAAACCGGGAGCTAAAACCCGCGAACGGGAAGTTGAACCAGCCGCAAACCGAATGGACAAAAACAATCTAAAAACCGTGTTTTTTTGTTACCGTTAACTTCACCAAACCGTGTGTTTTCTCTGACTTTATCACCACGCTACCTGAAATAAAGAAAATTGATTTTGGTTTTAATTGAAAAAAATAAAATTAGTGAAATTAATTTTCTCATCATTTCCTTTTTACTAAAAATCCAATTCACCGTCTATATAAAACAAATAGCAGTCTCCTCTCTCTCGCACCACTGCTTCTCTCTCTTGTTCTGTCTCTCGCTCGTTTTGTGTTTGTCTCTCAAGAAACAGAAACGATGGCTTTGTTGTCCGATGATCTTCCTCCACAACTCACGAAAGATGTCAAAAGAAGAAACAGAAAAAGAAGAATCGTAAGAAGTAATGACGTTGAAGTGTTGATCAGCGTCGCTACAAGAGCCGCTCATATCGCAAGAGACAAAGGATTCCACGTCGTCTCTCCCGAAGCGATACGGTGCGTTGAAGCTCTAAGAATGATGAGAAGCATGCCCTTGACTCCTCGTCTCATCACGAAAACAGACCTCTTGCGTGTTCTTCAATTCTTGGCCACGAATGGTAACCCTAAAATTAGATCAGAGTCTAAATCCGTTCTTAATCACTTGAGGGGTGTTCTTGCGAGTAGCTGAAGAGATTCGCCTAAAGGGTTTTGCTTGGAAGACACGAAGATTGAAAAGAAAGTATAAAAACTAGGGTTTTATTTCTGAACAGTATTTTTTTTTTGTAACGGATTCTTTTGGAATGGCCTAGTAGAATCTAATTGTTTCTGTCTTGTTCAAGTTTTGTCATGTTTGAATCAAACTGATTATGTTACTACAACAAAGTTGCGTGATTTGAACACGAAGGATTGGATTTATCTTACTTTTATAAAATATAAAGGGATCGTTGAACTTGACTCTGAATTTGTGAAGAGGCTCAGCGATTCTGTAACGGTTGTTTGGTTATAAACGATGGTATTCTCTCACCTTCCTTTAACCAACAAAAACTACCAACAAGAATATTTATCCATCAACACTTCAATTTCTTTCTTGAACTTGATGATGTTGAACTTGATTTCTCTCATGTTTTTGGCCTGCGGCGTTGTCTTCGATGAGCCTTTCAAGCTCAAATTACAAGAGACTGAGGACTCTGTTGACTTGGTGGAGTGTCTAGAAGGTGAGTCTCAAAAAGAAAACGATGAATTCTCTGGTGTGGTAGGACTTGATGATTTGAGGTTGTGAAGGTTGTATGGGATAGTGTACCACGTGAGGAAGAAGAGACATCTGAGATATACGCAATGAAGGTCATTAGAAAAGATACGGAGAAGAACTATGCGGAATACATGAAAACTCAGGGTGATATTCTTACCAAAATTGATCATCTTTTCATTGATCAACTTAATTACTCTTTTTAGCCAACACTGTCTGTATGCGGTGTCCAAACCCACTTTAAGTACTAAACAAGCCATCAACAAACATCGTGTCAAAAGCCATCATTAGGAGGAGAACGAGGAACAACCATGGTTCACGTGTTAGTGTCCAGATATGTCTAATCAAGAAACATTTTAGATTCTTAGAGGAAAGGTTAAGGTTCATTAAAGGAGTTTACCAGTTGATCAGCCCAAAAGATGGCACTTGACTTGGGAACAATGGCTATAACATTAGAACATATCTTGGCTTTCCAGATATGGTTTTGGACTTGGGCTTAGCATTTTATAATCAAGTGTGGATGTTTGTTTAGGTGCAAAAACAATTGGCTTCTCTAAAGTCATTTTGCCTGAAAGCCAACATCACCCTTGATCTTCTTCCTTCGAGTTCAGAGACTCTTGCATATGAAAACTGGTGCAGCTCATAGGGAAATTGACATTATAATAAGACTCTTGCATATGGTTTGTCCATACCGGCATTACCCTGCATTGGTTAGGACTTTGAATAATATATACTATACAGTCCCTTATGTCTCATTGATTGTGTTGTGTTGGGGCATATGACTGTACAGAACATACGGGTCCAGCATCAGAATCTAGTTCCAGTATTGTTACTGTAATGAGCTTTGAGACTTGCATCCCAAGCTACATGTATTCGTTGAGCAGAACTCGACCTTTTTACAAAAACTCAGTCCCATCTATATATAGACAAAATTGTACTCTCTTCTCACTCTCTCGATATTCATTTAAAACTATATATCCAGTAATATTCTTTCGTGACTCTTTGAAAACAGTAAGCTTTAAACTTTAGGAATTTTAAAGGAAATTATAAGAGGATAAAATGTTAATTTATAACTACTAGTCATATTTACCAACCATACTTTTATTTTAAAAATTACAGTCAAAATTCATATTAAACCAAATTATATAAAAGATGCATATTAAACCGGGAGCTAAAACCCGCGTACGGGAAGTTGAACCAGCAGCAAACCAAATGGACAAAAATCTAAAAACCGTGTTTTGTTACCGTTAACTTCACCAAACCGTGTGTTTTCTCAGACTACATGAAAGAAAGGAAATAGATTTTGGTTTTAAAAGATAAAATAAAATTAGTCAAAATTAACTTTCACATTATTTCCTTTTTTTTCTAAAAACCCAATTCACCGTCTATATAAATAAATAGAAGTCTCCTCTCTCCCGCACCACTGCTTCTCTATCTCTTGTTCTGTGTTTGTCTCTCAAGAAAGAAAAACGATGGCTTTGTCCGATGATTTTCCTCCCCAACTCACGAAAGATGTCAAAAGAAGAAACAGAAAAAGAAGAACCGTAAGATGTAAAGACGTTGAGGTGTTGATCAGCGTCGCTACGAGAGCCGCTCATATCGCAAGAGACAAAGGGTTCCACGTCGTCTCTCCCGAAGCAATACGGTGCGTTGAAGTTCTAAGAATGATGCGAAGCATGCCCTTGACTCCTCGTCTCATCACCAAAACAGACCTCTTGCGTGTTCTCCAATTTCTCGCTACGAATGGTAACCCTAAAATCAGATCAGAGTCGAAATCCGTTCTTAATCACTTGAGGAGTGTTCTTGCGAGTAGTTGAAGAGATTCGCAAGAAGGGTTTTGCGTGGAAGACACGGAGATTGAAGAAGAGAGTATTAAAAAACTAGGGTTTTATTTTCTTGAACAGTAGTACTTTTTGTAACGAATTATATTTGAGTAAAATATAATACTTTTTGTTGTTGTTGTCTAGTTCAATTTTTTTTTTTCATGTTTGAATCAAATTGGTTGTTTATTATAACAAAGTTGCGTGATTTGAAGAGATTTGGGTTCATCGTATCTTTTAATATTATAATGGGATCGGTTGAACTTTGTCTATGAATTTGTTCTAAGCGCTTTTGTATCAGTTTTTGGTCACCAGCAACAAAACCACAAACAACAATCTTTATCCATCAGATATTCACTTTTTTCTTGAAAGATGATGCTGAACTTAATTTCTCTCATATTTTTGGCCTGCGACGTCGTTTTCTACGACCCTTTCAAGCTCACCTTACGAGAGATTGAGGACTCTGATGACTTGGTGGAGTGTCTACAAGGTGAAAACAATGAATTATCTGGTCTTGACAACACTCACAGTGATCTCAAGAGATCACAGAACTGGTGAAGGGTTTCCAGATATGGTATTTGGACTTGTGTTTAGCATTTTTTTTTTAACTACTTGTGTTTTGCATATAAATTCAAATGTGGTCATTAAGATTAATGCTCTCTCGGTGTTCACATAAATAAGGATTTTTTTAGGTGTAAAAAAACAAATGGCTTCTCTAAAGTCATTTTACATAAAATCCACATAACTCTTCACTCTTGTTCTTATTCATCCGACTTCAAAGACTATTGCATCTTGGTCTGTCCACATTTGGAAAGAAAGAGTGTTTTGTTTTGGGTCTCTAATCATGTCTAAACTGGTCCAAACAGTATTGTTAGTGTAATGGGCTTTGAGACTTTCTCCCCAAGCTACATGTAATCCTTGAGCAGACATAAAAAGGAAATTGATTTTTTTTTTTAATAGCAAAAAAGGAAATAGGTAAAATCCTTTTCCTCGTTGTTTCCATCTATATAAACAAACAGAGACTCCTCTCAACTCGTACCAAAACCTCATTCTCTCGCTGTTTTTGTTTTCTTTGTGTCTCAAGAAACCATGGCTTTGTCCGACAATGATCTTCCTCCACAGCTTAAGAGCGATGTCAAGAGAAGAAACAAAAGGAGAAGAACTGTAAGAAGTAAAGACGTTGAAGTACTTCTCAACGTCGCTTCAAGAGCCGCTCGTATCGCAAAAGACAAAGGATACTATATCGTCTCTCCGGAAGCTATACGATGCGTTGAAGTTCTTAGAATGATGCGAACCTTGCCTCTCACTCCTCGTATTATCAACAAAACTGGTGCCTTGCGTGCTCTTCATCACCTCGTTACGAATGGTAACCCTAAAATCAGATCAGAGTCTAGATCCGTTCTTGATCACTTGAATGGTGTTCTTGCAAGTAGTTGAAGAGAAGGGTTTTGCTTGGAAGACACGAAGCTTGGAGAAGAGTATAAAGACTAGGGTTTTCTTTTCTTTTTTTGAAAAGTTTTGTAATGATTTTTTGTGAATCGATTTGTTGTTTTGTCTAGTTTCAAGTTTTGTCCTGTTTGAATCAAATTGATTGTTTACTATATAATGTACTCCCTCGGCACACGGATTAAAAAACAATTAATTTTACATATTTCCTATATAAAACACAGTTACTTATACACCTAACTATATTTTAACCAATTAGAAAAACAAATTACATAATAAAATTAATAAATTTTACATTAAAAACCGAAAACGACACTTATTTTGTAACGCCAAAAATTCTCTTTTACGACATTACATATGAAACGGAGATTAATAAATTTTACATTAAAAACCGAAAACGACACTTATTTTATAACGCCAAAAATTCTCTATAACGACAGTTAATATAAAACGGAGGGAGTAGCAAAGTTGCATGATTGAAGACAGAGTTCGGTTTTAATGTATCAAATTGATTATCAATTTGCTTCGATCATTATACCACAGGATTATATCAACTCATTAAACATATAAGAAACTTCTGCAAAGTAATCCAAAGAGATTCTTCCATACAAACTTAAACCGAAGCAAAAGACCAAACTTGTCTCACTAAAGATAGATATAAACCGAATCATGTATCTTCAGTAAAGACATTACAGTAATGCCTTCAGTTAAAAGGAAACTAGTATATATAACAGAGACATCATCAGTATCATTACAACAACTATAATTAGTATTCATAAGCAGCAGTTCTCTTCATCATCCTCATGAACTCTTCCATATTAACTTCACCATCACCTGCATTTGGATTTACTTAGTGTGATTGTGTGAATCATATATATCGAAAGAGAAGATGAGGGTAGGAAACTTACGGTCACGGTCAGCTTCTTCAACCATCTCACGTATCTCAGCATCAGTGAAGTTTTCACCCAAGTCTTTTGCCATGCGTTTAATATCATCAGGAGATATCTTCCCCTGCCAAAAAAATGTAAAAGGAATCTGACTTTAGTAGATCTACTAGAGATTGTAATCCTCTCATAATGAAATAAAGAAAGAAAGTGTATAAGACATACATTATTGTCAAGATCAATGAGCTTGAAAGCCTTGGTGAGCTCTTCTTTGGTGTCTCTTTCACCAATCTTAGCAGTCATCATATAGTAAAACTCATCGTAATCTATGGCTCCACTTCCATCTTTATCCACATCTGCTATCATTTTCTCGATTTGCTTCAATCATTATACCAAACAAAACAAACAAAGAGGATGATATCAGAATCATCATTCTCTAAAGAAGTAAAAGAAACCTACAATGACACTTTTGTTACCTCTTCCGTCATCTCGAAACCAAGCGCCCTAATTACACAATGTAGTAACTTGAGGATTAATCTTCTAAGCATCCCAAAAAAAAATCATAAAAGTAAAGAGAGAAAACAAGTTCACCTCATAGCAACATTAAGCTCTTTAGCATCAATGGTGCCAGAACCATCAGTGTCAAAGAGATCAAAAGCTTCCTTGATCTCTTGCCTCTTCTGCTGATTTAAACCATGATGACGTCTTGGTTTCTCTTTCCTCGAAACACCTCTGTATAGACTCGACTGCATTAACACATCAAAAACAATTAAACCACCTAAAAAAGCATGAAGCATCTCACAGAGAAACCAAACCAAACCCAAAACGAGAAAGACATAAACTTTAAACTCTGTACAGTCTCGACTGCAATAAGAAACCAATTAAATCTCAAAAGAACAGTAAGCACTTATAGAGAAACCAACAACACAAGACACTGAGACAGCTCTGTTTTGCTTAATTGTAAAAAGAAAAGAAAAAATCTAAACTTTTAACAACCAAGTGTAAGAAAAGAGATTATCTTCAGGATCAAAAAACCTTCAAGCTATGAGACACTCTGTAATATCAAACCTTCCCTGATTGATTCAATTTTGATTCGGATCTTAAAACCTCATAATGCAAAAATCTCAGCACAAAACCTTTGATCAGATCTCTTGATTATTTATCTTTATAACACACAAATTGAGAAAAAGTGAAGATAGTACGAACCATGTTTGCCGCAATATGAATCGGAGAGATGGAAGAAGCTCTTTCGCTTGAAACTTTCCGCGTCGATTTCTCGAAAAGTAATCTACGAACGTTTCTGCTTTCCTCTTTTCTTTCATACCGGAAAAAAAGTGGATCAGATGGGCCTGTTAATAAAAGGCCCATTAATGAAGTCAAATGAGCCGGGCCGTATACTTGTAGGACTGGGCATAAAAGATAAAAAAGAATTAAAAGTTAACAATAACAGTTCTATAAAGTTTATAAAAGTAAGAAATACTATTTTTTCTTTTTTAAATAACATTATTTAAACTTCAAAACAAATTTATTCGTAACTTAATTTCAAATACAATGTTAACCAAATAACACTATATATTAGACTAAATATTTGAGTTAAATATTCATATATTAACTAATTTGTTGTAGGTACTCAATAATATATTAATATGTTTTAAAAACATTAGGTATGGTACAAGTTTTTTTTTGGAATTTTAAAGTTTCGGATTCTTTCGGATATCTATTTAAGTTTGGGTTCGGTCCGGATAAAACTCCTAATCCAAAAATACTGTAAAACAAGTTCTGTTTGATAATTATGTCGAGTAGAAATTGGTTCAGATTCTTATTTTATCAGATTAGATTCGATTTGTTTTGCCTAGCCCTAGCTACTCGCATGAAATATTAGTGAATAGCCGTTTCGCGTGGTTTTACATGTTTCTCAAACCAAGTTTGATCCATCCCATCTTGATATACTTTTTTAATTTTTATTTTGGGTGGTTATTTTTAAATCCATCAACTACACACCTGACTGTTTCTCTTGGAACTTACATGTTCATTCATTTCCCTTTAACTCTGATCTGATTGATATATTGCAATGTTGAATGCCAAACCGACCAGGATGAAACTGATTTTTTTTCAAAGCTATGATTTAAAAGACGCTGCTAAGTATCAGCCCAGCCTGGGCCAGCTACAATTTCAAGCAAGTCGCTAACATATCAAACTAAATATTAGTATATGTCAATATGTTATCTACTTATCTAGATTCATCCCACTTTAAAAAAGGAAGTTAGACACAATGGTATCTCCGAGGCATCGAGGTACTTGATGAAAACCAGACCACCCCATGAAAATCAGATGAACAGTGGCGTCATAGCACAATGTTGTTGCTAGATCCTAATATTTTACGTACCATGTAGGTTTAAAAAAAAAATCATGTATGTTTTCCTTAGATAAATATATAACTTCATTTGGCATTGCCAAGAATTACAATATGTATAAGCGCATATGTATCAACGTGGAACAAAAGATATTAATATATACAGAGAGTTAAAAAAACGCAAACAAAAAGAAGAAATAGAATCAAAACTCAAAACTAGAATTGAGAACCTCACTTTATTCTTCGCCACCGCACGCACGCTTTGCTTCCACAGTGGTAGGCTTTATAGCCTTCCTACAACCTACCAAGAATCTATTTATAAAGAAGAGATGAGATATATCAACCACACGAGTGTTTATTTAAAAACAACAACAAAGCGTGAATGATTTATAAGGAAAAGTGAGCGAATCAAGCAAAAAAGTTTCTTTTACTTTGAATAGAGTCGTCTATTTTAATATTATAGGTTTTGGATTAGTAATAAAGAAACTAGAATTGTATTGTCAAACAAAAACAAGAATTGTATGGTTGTATTTAATAACTAATTCGTAAAAAAAAAAAATTATGCTGATCAAACGTTACATCCAACGAGTGACGAGAGGGATAGTGTTTCTAAAACTAAATGTTAGAATATTTTTGATGAAGTGTATTTTTGAAAACTGAAAGATAACTAAGGATATTTTAAGCAATTTTTCTTGAATTTAGCCTACTAATTTTAACTGATTGTAATGTATCTATAAATCAAGATGTGTATATTTAATATGGTCTACGATTTTCATAATTATTTGCAGACATGTTATTGTGGAGGGTACTAACTAATGATGTATTAAGCACATGGGGGAGCATTAAGAGCATCTCCAATGTATTACTCCATTTTCTACTCTAAAATGGAGTAACTCCAAAATGCAGTTGAGTTTTACTCCAATGTATTACTCTATTTTCTACTCCAAAAGAATATTTTTAATATTATATTTATTTCAAAATTAGGAATATCACCTTTCATTTATACTATTTGCAAAACAGTCCATTTTAAATTTATAGCATNAGAGCATCTCCAATGTATTACTCCATTTTCTACTCTAAAATGGAGTAACTCCAAAATGCAGTTGAGTTTTACTCCAATGTATTACTCTATTTTCTACTCCAAAAGAATATTTTTAATATTATATTTATTTCAAAATTAGGAATATCACCTTTCATTTATACTATTTGCAAAACAGTCCATTTTAAATTTATAGCATTTCTATTAAATACAATATTAACCACAATTAAATTTTTATTATATAAATAAAACTACTCAACAAGGTTTTGAAAGAATACATTTAATACATTAAAAATTACACTATATAGCTTAAACACAATAATACATCAATTCTAAATTATTCATGAGAATTATAATAATTTTCCCACAAATGATCAACTAATGCATTTCGAAGTAAAAATGAGCTTCTTTATCTTTGATTTCTCTGAAATGGGAAAGAAACTTTTGGAACCTCACATTATTATTTTCTTCAATTTCAATTTTCCTTGACATGACTTCTCTTTCAACTTCAGTTGGCACCTCGAGATCACAATCATCTTCTATTATCATGTTATGTAAGAATTTAATAATATTTTATCGGATTATTTTAATAATTTTAATGGATCTGAAAATGATTTATCGGTTTATTAAGCAGTTAAATTTGTTGTAAGTTTTATTTTATGTTATTTCTTTTGTATGGTGCTTATCTTTCATTTTCTATATGTATGATCTTTTATGTTTTATATTATATATATTATGTTGTATAAAAGAGTTCATCAGATGGTTATTTATATAATTAAAAAATATTAACAGTAAATTTTATAATATATATAGTAAAATAATATTAATATACTTATT